CCCCAAAACCCCAAAACCCCAAAACCCCAAAACCCCAAAACCCCTCAATTTTACTCATAAATAGAAAAATAATTTATATTAATTATAGACTTAAATATAAATGTAAACAAAAGGAGGAGGTACAACCCTTGCTACCATGCTTGAACTGGAGAATTATGACATCAGAATTACACTCGGTACTGGATCTTTTAGAAGAGTCCGTATTGCCAAGGAAAAGAAATCCTGAAGATATTTAGCAGCCAAAATATTGAAAAAGCAGAAATTATTAAAACGAAGCAAGTTGATCATATTATGAATGAGAATAATATTCTAGCCTCTATTGATCATCCCTTTATAATCTCTATGGATAGCTTTACCCAAGATGATAAGCATCTTTCCCTTGTTATTGAATTTGTGAGGGAATGAGAGATGTTCACTTATTGAAGAGGAATTGGAAAATTTGATGCTAAAAAGCCCAGTTCTACTCATTCCAAGTCGCATCGATGTTTGAATACTTTCACAGTAAAAATATATTTACAGAGGCTTAAAACCAGAGAATATTCTTATTGATAATCTGGGGTATTTGAAGCTCACAGATTTTAGATTTACCAAAATTGTTGAATTAAGAAATTACATCTTGAGTGGAACCCTCGAATACTTGGCACTAGAGATGCTTCTTAACAAAGGACATGGAACGCCAGAAGATTGGTGAACATCTAGAATTATATTGAATGAAATTATTGCTTGAATTGACCCCTTCTCAGACAAAGACCCAATGCTTAATTTACCAAAAGATTCTGAAAGAAAAAGTTAAGTTTCCAAGGAGCTTTGATAAAAATGCCAAAAATTTAGTGAGACATTTGCTTCAGGCTGATCTTTCCAAGAGGTACAGCAAATTGAAGAGAAGAGTAAATGATATCAAGGGTCACAGGTTCTACAATGGCTCAATTGATCTCAGCTGCTTAAGAAAGAGGTTGATCCACCGTATATTCTACCAACCAAAAGAGAAGGAGGTCCAGGATGTTTCCCTCCATACCCAGATTCTGACACTGAGCCTCTAGCTGTAAAAGAAAGTGAAGATCCTTTCTTATACTGGTAAATTTATTTGTAGTAATTGCCTATAAAGCGATAACATATCCATATATTATTTCAAGAGTTTAACTTAGTACTTAAGGTAGGTAGTTTCAATATTTTCTAAAAATATAGGGGTTTTGGGGTTTTGGGGTTTTGGGGTTTTGGGG